TAAAATAGAAGATATTCTTTGTCTCTAGCATCACACAAAAATTATGAGCACCTAAGTAAGTAATCTTGAAGGAGATTCTTTTTTTACTGTGTCGGTTTTAATCGTCTCTCTCCTTTGGACTCCATCTTGACCTGGTCTCGACTAGTACTGTTCTTGGACTCAACAAAGGTAGTCTTGACTACGGCTCTGCCATACATACTGTCACTGAGTAGCGCCACAGCCTGAGGAAAGAATCTGTCCTGTGAAGTTCTTGTTTCAACAGTCCTATACCTCAGCCCCGAAGATCGTAGCTGAAGGATGGGGTTGGCAGGATGAGTCGTGTCAGTGGCAACCTTGTCCGCTCTCTACCTGCATCTGTTGTAGTAGAGCGCCTGCAGAGGAGTCGGGCCGCAGCCGATGATCTTCTCCACTGAGCTGATGATGTGCTGAAGTTTTGCCTTTATCCTTGTGGTGCAGGGTCCAAACCAGACAGTCTAACAGGGAGTTTGCGATAGTCCTTCTTAGAACCGCATCTTACAAATCAGGCCTGAACCTATCAGGTATGAGTCCTTTGACCGCTACACCCCCTGTTGGCTGAACTGATTGTTAACATCTGCTCCCAGGCATCACTGGGAGGAGCTGCTCTCCAGGGAGCAGGGCACTGATGTGGTGGGCACAGTGAAGGCTGGCAGGAAGAGAAAACGCATAGATGCTGTCAGTATCAGCAATAAAAGGAAGCACGGGAAGATGGAGGTTGCACACAAGGGCCTGATGCACAAAACAGGTAACATCCAAAGTCTCTCTCTTATACAAAACTCTGTTTCTCCAGGTTCCTCTACATGTGATCACAATTAGGGATGAGCTGATCCACGTTGATTCAGTTCTGATCCGATTTCGATACCAACTGCTGTTACAGATTCCGATACAAGAGCTCTCTTTACTTTAATATAATTAGAGGTGCACTGATCCCACTTTTTCTGTGCCGCTACGATCATGATATTTGAACCGAGGGAATCGGCTGATATGAGTATCTGATATCAGAGCTTTTTTTTTTTTTACACTAATAAATAATGAAAAAATGTTTGCCAAAAAAGTTGAAATTAGGCTACTAGAAACATGTATAACATACTGTTCTTGTTTGTACATCTTGTTTTAAGCGTGTTTGAAGCATTTGCAATTCAATTTGAATATCTTCCAAGAGAGTATATGCATGTGGCGAATGCTTAAAATGCCCCACAATTTTTCTCCCACTGGCAAGAGTGTTACTCATGTATCACATGCTGTAGCGAGTGTGCAAAACAGCCCAAACTACTGCAACGAAATTATCAAATTATCCATTGCTTTTTTTTTAATTATATTACTCATGTTGTCTTGCACAATTGCATGCGCTTTTAGTGGGATTTTCCAGTAAACGCTACTTCTACCCCTCAAAGCTTTTTTTGAGATGGATATTAGCCTTTCAAAGAGCTTTCCTAAATCTGAGCCTTCAGGACATTGCTCTGGAGTATTGGCCCAGCTGCTCATAGCCGATTACGCATTTGCCAGCTTTATAGTTTTAGCATTTAGCATCTCATTACCTAAGAGTTCTAATTCCCAGCTAATGAGAACCACAGCACTAGGAACCCTGTGGCCCCAAAGGCCCCTTGCGTTACTGCAATACTATGCAATGATGTCGAAATTACTGAAACACCTGAAAAGACATACAACATCCATCCATTCATCCATCCATCTTCTGACTGCTTATCCCGGCCTGGGACTGGTATCCCATCCTGGATATTCCCTTCTTTCTTAATTGTGCTGCCTGAAATAAGTTCCAAGCTCCCTTGCAGCCTGTGGTAAAGATTAGTGGTTAGCGGAACGGAAATTTGGATGTTCCTTGAAACATCTTGCCCATAAACTGCAGTAGTTGGGTGTCAATCTTCATTATTTTGCTCACACTCCGATTTCCCCCTGGGATCTGTCAATTACATTCCCTAATGCCGCTGGTCCTGCCGTCTCCCTAGATGGGCCTCATCTGATGCTGTTGTGTGGTGCTGATGTGCTGGAGTCCTTTGGGGTACCGGGGCTGTGGAAGAACGAGGACATCGAGGAGATCGTGGGCAGCTACGGACTGGTGTGCATCACCCGCAGCAGCTTCGACGTAGACGCCTTCATTCAGGGCTCCGACCTCCTCTGGCCACACCGCCACAACATCCATGTGGTGCGCGAGTGGGTGGCCAACGACGTGTCGGCCACGCACGTCCGCCGCGCGCTGCGGCGTGGCCACAGTGTCCGGTACCTGCTGCCCGACCCGGTGCTCAGCTACATCCAGGAGCGGCGGCTCTACACCGCTGAGAGTGAGCAGACGAACGCTGGTGTTGTATTGGCTCCACTGCAGAAACACGCAGGGAACCATGGCTGAGCACAACCCCCCCCCTGGCACTCTGCCCTCCTGTAGCCTCGTCATCTTGCCATTTCTACCTTCCCATTTGTTGGGGATCCCCATATTGCTCTTAATAAAGAATGTTTTACAATCCTAAATGACTTGAACATTGACTTGAACAACTGTCCCCAGTCAGTAGATGTTGAAGGCATTATATAAAGGCTTTAATCAGCAAGTTTAAAAAAAAATAAAGATTCTTATTATTTTGCGAACACGTACATTGTATGTTGTCTCAACATGGCACTAACACAGTAAATTTAAATAGTGTACACACAATGTAACAAGTTTTATGTTGACGCATGAGTGTATGGTGCTGGACTCTGCTGAAGTTATGAGTTTTATTTTTTTTGTAGACACTAAACTGATGTTTTTTTTCACTAGTGCTTAAATTGAAATACAGGTATGTCAATATATACTTTATTGCCAAAAATACTGGGACACGCATGAACTTTTGTCATGGCATGACATCCCATTCTTAATACAAAGGCCTTGATATGGAGTTGGCCCACCCTGTGCAGCTATAATAGCTTCACCTCTTCTGGGAAGGCTGTCCACAAGGTGTGGAGTGTGTTTGTGGGAATTTTTGACCATTTTTCCAGGAGAGCATTTGTGAGGTTGGACATGAAAGCCAGGTTCGCAGTCTCTGCTCTAATTCATCCTAAAGATGTTCTGTTGGGTTGAGGTCAGGGCTCTTTGCAGGCCAGTGAAGTTCCTCCACACCAGACTTGCTCATCCATGTCCGTATGGACCTTGCTTTGTGCAAAGGTGCGCAATCATGTTGGTACTGGAAGGGGCCTTCCCCAAACTGTTCCCACAAAGTTGGGAGCATGAAATTGTCCAAAATGGCTTTGAATGCAGCAGCATTAAGAGTTCCTTTCACTGGAACTAAGGGGCCAAGCTCAACCCCTGAAAAACAACCTCACACCATAATACATATTTCCATTTAAAGTAATATTACAGTGGTACCTCAGTTCTCGAACTCATTAGAACTCGAATTTCTTAAAAGTAGAACCAACCAGTTCGAAAAAAAATTACCTAGAGCTCGATCTAAATCTCAGAAGTCAAACTGTGAATGCCGACCTAAGATAACTTATACGCGCAGGGAAATGAGTCACGCAGCACGTCTCTCAGCGGAAACAAAGGGTAAAGCTTAAGTCTCAGCCTAGCATTCCCTGTGATGCATGTTTACACTAACTGAATACATATATTTAGAAAGTAAAAATACATTTAGACAATGATAGTAACAGTAATTATTATTATATAATAAAATACATTTAAAAATAAAGATTTCTTATTCATTATTTTAATATTAATAATAAACCATTAATACGTTTATAATAATATTGTTGTGCAGAGCAGGGACAGAACGGAGACAAAGGCGCAGACTTCAGGGTATCGGGGAATACGGGGTTTAATTACAGGTAAGGCAGGCAAAACGCAGACGGACAATACAATGACCGGACTGGGGAAACAAACTGAAACGCGGACGAAATAGAGGACTAATGACAACAACCAGAAACAGCTGATCACACGGGGATTCCACACGGGGTTAACGTGGGGGCGTGGCACACGGAAGGAGCGGACGATCAGGGCAGGACACATTGTTTGGATACATTTATTTAGAGGCAACATATTCTTTAATTGCACAAAGCAATATTGACTAAACTATAAATAAAATCATTGTAACATTTTGTTCACAAGATCCAACTACTTAAAATAAGTAATTGTTTTCTTTTTCACTTCATGGGTGTTTTTAAATCACCTTGAAACATTCCTTGGTATATTTTGCCGACCTTTGGGCGGGGGGTCCGGGGAGGGGGGATTCCCTTTGTATTTTCGGCATTAATCGTATCGCGATCTACCTATAGAAACACTGGTCGATTGCGATCGACGAGTTGGGTGCCCCCGACCTACCCTTTTATTTACATGTAAAAATGTGTCCCATTTGTCCTGAAATGTACTGTCCCACTTTTACTAGCACCTTCTGCAAAAGTCGGACAGCACTAAAGACAAAAGCAAACAAAAAAATAATATATATGTGCTTTATTTTTAAGACTATTTCCAGCCGTCTTTTACTAAAAACCAACATCTTACACAATATATCCCATTATATGCGTCTAGCAGTTATTTCGTTTGTCGGTCCACTTGCCTTGCGGTCGCGCTACACGTTGAAATTCTGAGCACATCCATCATAAACATTTCACACAAATGAAGACAGTTGGTGAAGACCAAGCGCCATTGTAGCGTCATACACTGTTTGTGTCATTTGTTGTTGATTTCTTTAAAGTAGCATAGGGCAAAGCTTAAATGTGCCACTTCACCTGATGTACATTATCACGTTTACTGAACTCACCCTATTATTATATACAGACGTACATCACAGGTAAAATGCATGCAACCTATTTTGAGACTATTTGACTTGGTTTATTAATTACTAGTAGGCTAATTAAGTAGCAATTATAATTAAGTAGTAGTGCACGAAAGCTCACAATTAAGTTGTAATGGAACTACTTCGAAGTAAGTTCACCTGTTGTCAATAAAAAAAAAACATCGGCTGCGACCTCCTTTGGGCCTATTTTAAAAGTTTCTGTAGGTGAGATTCGTAGTATCGTTTTCACCGACGTGATTTGAGTACGTTTGTTTGGGTAATTCAGCAACCAGCAATATCCATCAATATGTCCGTTAACATCAGTGGTACCTGGGACATGGTCATTAATGTTAATTTTGATGCCTATATGGTTTCACTCGGTGAGTATGACGAGTTGAACTACTTTTCCCTGAAATGTAATTTTCTGACTTCGGGTTCCAGAATGGAGTCTTCTTGCACATTTAGCTGTCGCCTGTTTCTGTGTAGCTGCAGTCTTTTTAATAGACCTAATATTGGGCGTCGCTAGTAACCAGGTCTTATGGAATATAACCCTAAATGTGTCGCCACTAAGTAGGGAGACGACGAGCACCGGTATAAAGGTAACTATTCCAAGTTCTTGCATTTTTTTTTTTCTCTTTATTTGATTACACTTCTGAGCCAAATAATGCCTTAATTCTTAGTCTATCGTCACTAATATCAACCCCCCTCCCCCCGAATCGAGAGGGCAAATACTCTCTTCAGCATTGCCTTCTTTTGTCTCTTATTGTCACGGCGAAGGAACAGCACTCCTAAGGTCTAAAAGTACTGCATTACTAAACGGATCTTTCGTTTCATTCCCCCTAAGCTCGGCCAGTTTCACCGAGGTTGGGGTGGGGTTGCTGTGTGTCCTTTAGGAAGATATACTCATGCGAGTCGCTTTATCCTCACTGTAATATACTGTCACTACTATAATCTGCTGTTCTTTTAAAGGATGGAATGCTTTTGTAAGATCAATGAATTTTTAAACTAAAAGGTCTATGTGGAGGGAGGGTTCCCTTGGAGTTTTGTTTGCTGGATGACGTGAGTAAAATTTTGGTCTGCTATCTAACCTAAATTATGAGAACTGTCAATGGTGGAAAAAGTAGTGTCTGCCTGCTGTAGTGCAGTGCACCTGGGTTCCATGCTCTAAACTCTCTCTGGCCCGTTGACTGTTCCAGCCTTGGAAGGGAAATCGCAGCCTGGTCTCCATACCTCTACCTGCCCTATGAGGATTTTTATGGTGCTAGTTTAAATTGCCAACCTGAAGTATGACTTTCCTCAAAAGGGATAGACTTTGCAACAAGGAAGGTTGCTGGCTTGCTGAAGACCCAGAAGGTGATTGAGCAGGATGGCCAGTTCTTCACCATGACTACAGTCAGTGCCTTAAGGAACTACAAATCTTCCTTCAAGATTGGAGAGGAGTTTGAGGAGGTGACCAAAGGCCTGGACAACAGGAAGTGCCAGGTGAGCATAACCCTCCAGATCTCAATGAGGGTGACTCACTATCCATGTAAATGAAGTTGGAATCATTTAAATAGCTGGCAGGGTACAAGCTGGAGATGCAGGAGTTCAGCTGATAATGCTGTTGGTCCATTTTATTTTTGTGTTCCAGTCTCAAGTAAATTGGATTGGTGACAAACTAGTCTGTGTGCAGAAGGGGGAGAAGAGAGACCGTGGCTGGACCCACTGGTTGGAGGGAGATGAGCTCTACTTGGTACTGAGAGGGGGAGGGGACAGGGGGAGATGGGGAGGGGCACACCAGCTGTGTATTATCTATGCATGAGAGCCCTACTGACTGAATCTTTTCCTTTACAGGAGCTGTACTGTGAAGGCAAAGTTTGTAAACAGGCTTATAGGAGGAGTGCTTGATTTGGCTGCTTATATGCTAGTTAGTCTTTTTGGCTTTTATTTTATTTGTCTAAATACCATTCAAGCATTTGTTCAGATTCTGTATGGAAGAGCCTGGATTTTGCAGCCTGTGTCCCCAGATGCTTCAGTTGCTGTTTCTGATCAACTCCTGCAAAAAAAAAAAAAAAATGGGAAACTGCCCTTGTCTTCTGTCCTCTTTGTTCAAAGTGTCCAATGTTCTCTTCAGTCTTGTTGGGTCCTGTATGGGTCTAAGGGGTAGGTTCAGAAGATCTACTCTTCCTGTACCACAGATGGGATTGTTCAAGACTTGGGCTCAACCAATCTGTGGGAATCAAAAGTGGGCTTTAGCTTTCAGTTACTTGATCACATGACTTATTCCTTACAGATTCCGAAAACGATACTGTTTTATTCCTGGGACCTATAGACAGGACACTAAGTGTTGCAATTCCTGGGTCTCTTAGCTCCATCCCTTGACTACATTGACAGCATTACTCAACACCAGTGACTGATGTGTAGTTGGTGCCAGCTAATCTAGCATAAGTACATTGAGTTAACACTGCAAACCTTTTAACTTTCAGAAGGTGAGCCTGGTTAATTTTTGTTCTCCACTGTGTAATTCAGCAGATAAACAGGCATGTGCATAGATATCTAGGTAATCATGGGGTTTGTTGTGCAATCTCTTGTGAACAAACATACTGTCGAATCTGTAAGTGGCTGACAGTTGCTCTTCAAGGTGTCACCTGTGCTTTCCTCTGATTTCAGACTGTGACAAAAAGGATTTTGTGTGTCTCCTAAAATTTAAGAGCAGTGATTACCCTAATCTTGTAAACTGCTCGGTCACATAACAAAGGATCGACATCAGTCCTACAGATCTGTGGCTATTTTTTTTTAAGCACTGACAGCTTAAATGGACACGTATGCACGGGTATCCAGGAAATGCGTGGATGTGCAGTACTATGTGCAGTACTATGAACTCCATCTGTAAACAGAGATCGAGCTCGTACTGTGCTGGGGTCCGTCCTTAAGGCAAGCGTGGTATCCCTTCGGGCGTCTCATTCTCAAACACAGGTTGTATGCTATGTTCAGCCCCCTGGCTAAGTGGGGGGGCAACTCTGGCTTCTGCTGCAGGGAGAGTGGATGTCTGCAGCTGCTCTGTCTTCACTGTACCCAGCTCACCATCACTGGCTTTTCTGTACTTTGATTACGTTCGGTCTTGTCTCTGTGCTGCCTGTCTCTTTCCCTTCGGTTTTGCTGCTCGGGGCTGGTGTTCATCCCTCCTGCAACACCTACTCATGGGACTGTAGCACTCGTACAGTTTTCTGAAGTTTGGTCTTGCCACTGATGTTTCCTTTTTCTCTCTTTCTGCTAATTGTGAGTTCAGCAGCTGTGATGGGTCCTAGATTCTCAATGATTATATATTTGAAAACCTTGGACTATTAACATCATGGCCAGAAGGTGGCAGCAGATTCAGCACTATGCCAGTAGCCTAAATAAATCACCGCGAGATGTGAATGCAAGCTTTTGAAATGGGAGCATGTCTGAGTCATACCAGGATGTGAGCTTTTCTGGCTCAGCAGGGTCTGGCTACAGTCCTTCTGGGTGCTTGCTAGAAGCTGTGTTTCTGTCAGTCTGGACTGGTCAGGACTAGCTGCTGATTGATCGTGGTGCAGATTAAAGGGTCAGTATTGCACGCACTGCAACCTCCGCTGTGGTTTACACAGGTTTACACAATAGGCCTCAGTTAAAGTGATTCTTATCCTATCCTAGAGCCGACATCCCACTCGAAACTAAAGGAGATGCAACACTTGCATCTAATCTGGGAGGAATCGGGCCTTTTGAGTTAATATACTGTCCTCCAAAATGCCAAGTGGGGCTAGATGTCTGACTAAGCAAAAGTAACAGAATTTGTTTCCCTCAGATGCAGTGTTTGGATCAGGCAGATTTGGGCCAGATGCATAATGGCACATGTTTAATATATTTTTTGTACAGTCAGTACGGTGAACGTAAAAGACGTGATTTATCCCTCAGGGTCCTTGGGATCTTACTTGCCACCCTGTTTCTGTCTCTTTGTATGTCAGCAGAAAGTTTACTTGGACTGTAGAAAAAGAAGAGCCCCTCCCCCAAATTGACCTGGCATGCTGGGTTAGGCTTAGGTAGGCGGTCTTCTGCGTGTTCAGCTTGACATGGAGAAGTCTACATTCTGTAATGTAGGTCTTTCCAAACACCCTTAATTTTGACCCTTGACTTCCCTTTGCAAACTGCAGTCACTAGAGGTGGAAAAAGCCCTGTGATAAATGATGGCTGTGGCACGTGACTCTGCTCCTCGCAGGCTGGTCAGCATTTTGGCTGTTTATAGTCGCACTGAAACCGTGAGCCAATCCTCCGTTTTACCTTACTACTTTGAGTAGATTGTGTGAAGAAATGGTGCGGAGGAGCCGTTCGGAGGAGCCGTTCAGAGGAAATTCCTCGCATGATAATTCTTCACTTTACTTTCTCAGCAGTCTTATTTACACCTTAATTATATAGTTGAACTGTATTGTCAAGTGTACAAAGCAGGACATAACCTTGGAATTTAAGCTTCTTAATCGTTAAGTTCCATTTTCCTTCCTTGTACACGGCTGCTCTTCGTCTTTCGGCAGGCCAGTGTGATGGGGGGGGGGGGTACAGCAGTATTAGGGACTTGGACACGGACGTTCTGCAGGGGATGGAGGTGCTGAACCCCACCACGGAGCAGCGTGAGGAGCAGTGAGCTCTGAGTAACTGTAGCCCCCTGCTGATCTGCCAAGACCCCAGAAACCGCCTGTTTCATGCTGAGGTTCCATAACCCTGGGGGAGTGTTTTCTCCATCCCATGATGTCGTCCGGCTCCTGCCACCATCTTCTGCTGCCCCCCCATGGGCGGCACCCTTCATCCTTTTCAGTTAATATACTGTCCTCCAACCCTAACCCTAAGCCAATCACTGTACACAGCATGCCAAGGGTGTAGATTTGGTCATGGATGACAGGGAGACGTCCTTAACAATACCATGGGAGTAGCGTGTCTCATTAGGGGGGTGGGGCATTTGAGGCTCATTTGGTACCTGCCAATATTGTAGGAGTGCAGTGTTTTGGGGGGGGTGGGTGTTTGGGCATGATTTTGTCCCTGGCACTGTTGAATCCAAACCCACATCTTTGCAGCGCTCTTTCTACCCCCCACCCTGCATGCTATACCTTTTATCCTTCTCCATCTATGCAGCCCCAACCTTCTCCCCGCCCACCAATGGGACGACAGAGCTGCTTTTAGGGCAGAGTTCCTGCTTCTTTAATCTGTTTATAATCTCACCATCTGTTCTACTGCATCCTATCAGAATTATTAGAGCTTGATACTATGTTGTGTATTTACATCATGACTTATTTTCACAATGTTGTAATATGCGTAGCTCATTCTCTAACTCATTTAGCCCCACTCCCTATGCACTGCGCCCCCTAGTGGCACACCGACACGCCACGCAGCCTTACTGCACAGTGAAGTACAGGGCCCTGGTTCCTTGAGTGCTTCTTCACTTTGTCCTGCTGGGGTGTTAGAGACAGATCCACCTCAGTGCAGGCGGAGAGGCCAACAGATACGCCGCCCCCAGCACCTTCCCAAGAGACATGCATCTTTTCCTTATATATTCAACTTTTAAAAATTAAGTTGTATGTCCTTGACTGTGACTGTTTTGAACTGAAATAGTTTTGGCCTCTCAGATTTTTTTTATAGTTGCTGTTGGTACTGAGGAGTTACTGAGGTCAGGTGGATAAAGGTCTCCCGGGAGAACGAGTCTGTTATTTGTCCGAAACTGGGGCTGTGCTTTTGTTTCCTGCCACGATAGACAGCAGAGCCTCGGGAAGACAGACCAAGCAGGGGAGGCCGCTCTCCTCCTCAGCCTTGGTTGACTCCTGCTGCAGTTTGCTTCTGTCTGCCAGTAACTGAAGTGCCGCCTGCTGGTGGCAATGTGAATAACAGCCTGAGGCTTCTGTAAGGAAGTACAGTTGCTCCCTCTTAATGAGTAGAGGACAGGTTTCAGAAGGGAAATTTGCTGCTGGTTTGCAGCATATGATGATGTTCGAGTCTCCTGTGGGCTTGTGTCTAAACTACAGCCAGACGAAGGCAGGACTGTGGGGGAAAAGAGAGAAAGAGGAAAAAAAGTTGTGATACTGAATCAATGTCAGAGGATGGGGTTAGATGACACACAAAAAACCCCCAGTAATGGTAACTTCCATATAAATTCTTTATGCAAATAACCCTTTCTCCTGAAACTGTATTTTAGCTAGAAGTGAGATCTGTAATCAGGAGAAGTTATTTCTTCTGCTAAAGATCTGCATGACTGCTTGTCTGAGTACAACATTGAAGTCCTGGGAAGGGAGTGAATTTGCTGCAAACTTGAGAAGTCAGGACTTCCTGCAAATGAAAAAGGAGTTGACGATAAAACTAAGTACATTTGACACTATTAAATTTGTTGAATGCGATTCAAATGAAAAGTGAGCAAACTAGAAGAGATTTATGTTTAAAAGACAAGCAGGGCAGGTGTGAAACACGAGAACATTGACAGGTAGACTGACTAGCATCAATGCAATGTGCTTAATAATGGCTGCATATTAACCATGTGACAAGTGTCATATATCTTTAATGAAGACTACAAATGCGTAAACAAAACTGTCAATTCTTATTGCACTACAGTACTTTGCTGTATGCTACAGTTCAATTGCACCTCCTTGAGTTTGGGTGTATTAAAGTGTGTTAAAAGGACTCTTTTCTTTCTTGGATAAAATTGCTGCTTCTGTTCTTTGACTTTTTATTTATTTATCGATAACCATTTTAAAGTTTTTGTTTTTGTTAGATGCATTTGTCCAAAGTGACACATTAATTAATAGCAGGCAGCTCCAGAGTTTTTTATAATTTAATTGATAAAAATCTTTCACTTTTAGTTTTAGACTGCTCCATATCTGCTGAAGATTTATTTTTTTTTTAATTTTAAGCTTTAAACCCATGTCCGTAATAAAAAATAATAATAATGACACTTTATTGACTCACCTGGGGAAGCCTTGGGTGATGTCAGAGGGCTCCTACACATTGTTCATACTGCAGACACTCTTCCAGATTGTCCATTACTGATGTAGAGAAGCGTTTGTTAGGTTTGAGTGGAGATA